TTCAGATATTTTCAAGTACCTCCTGAATAACGGTGAGATTAAGCTACCGCCTATTAAAGATCAGGAGGGAGCTAAGAGGATTACGGACCCAAACTACTGTGCGTATCACAGGAGGGTTCTAAGAGGATTACGGACCCAAACTACTGTGCGTATCACAGGAGGGTTCTCCATCCTACTGAGATTTGTTTCGGTCTAAAGAACAAGATTCAAGCTCTAATCGACTCTGGCGCCATAAAGCTAGAATAAGCCGAATGACGGTGCGCCACTCCGAAGAGTATACGAGTATAAACTGATCCTCGATACTCCAACATGTATATGAGTCTAAACTATTTTTTTTCTTTCACGGGAAGTTCCTGGAGAGTGCCATGCATGGTATTCTTAAGGATAACCCGATCATGCAGTTAAATACAATGATAAACTCAGTTTCATAAGAAAAGCTGGGGGTGGATGATTCATGTAACGGGAAGTTTTCGGAAGAATGCTACATGTTATTTTCTTAGGGATAAACCCGATCATTACAAACAAAATGATAAACACTAAACCCCCACTGTGATTTTCGAACACTCTTTTGCTGAGACGAGATTCGATCACTTCGTTGGATCAATCTTCCCTCACAAAACTCCCATTGGTGTTTGATGACTTACAGTCTTCCACCATAAAATCCCCACCGATCAGACTAATTAACGATGGGACCACCAAAATTCCTTTCGGTTGAATCCACTCAAACTTCCAATGCGTCTGTGCACTTAACATTCCCATTGTTAAATTTCAGACATAATACTTGGAATTTTAATATCCTGATCATTGACGATTATCAAACCCCTCCGTGTTAAGTATTTGTCACTTAACACCAGGAATCCCCTCTGAGTGACTTGTATAAGTCAACACTCCCACTGTGATTTGTACTCCCACTTCACTGTCTACTTGGTCAAACCTTTAAACAGTTAGGACCACAACTAAAATCCCCTCTCGATTCTTTCCATGAACGAGAGGTCCACAAATTGAACGATCAAACCTTTAAACAGTTAGGATCGTCTCAAATTCCCATCTTGGTCAAACCTTTAAACAGTTAGGACCACAACCAAATCCCTTCTCGATTCCTTCCATGAACGAGAGATCCATAAATTGAACGATCAAACCTTTAAACAGTTAGAGTCATCTCAAATTTCCATCTTGGTCAAACCTTTAAACAGTTAGGACCACAACCAAAATCCCCTCTCGATTCCTTTCATGAACGAGAGGTCCACTTTCAATTTGAGCAATCAAATCTATAAAAGTTATGGTTGCCTCCAACCTCACTTGGTCGAGCCTGCAGATAGTTAGGACCAAGACCAGAATGCTCCTTTCAATAAACGAAAGACTTTTACCTTTTCCTATTCGGCCAAACCTATAAAAGTTAAGGCCAAAATCGGAATTTCACCTTAATAAATGAGGAATTCTTTTCTTGGATTAAGCAACCAATCCTATAAAAGTTAGGATTGCTTGAATCTTTCCGATTCTCGGAGTGGAGATCACACTCCTAGTTTCACTTTTTCGGATTCTTAGGATGGAGATACCACTTCGAGTTTCCTTGACAACTGGAGATAGAATATAAAATTCTTCATCTTCAGTTTTGGAAGATAGAATATAAAATTCTTTCTCTCTTATTTTTCGACACCATCCTTCAACTCCGTAATCCGTGCCTTATACGTATGGGAAATTTTATCCTGAATCCTAAGTAGGGATAAGTCAACGCCTAACACGCGTTGCCGGTTTAGTCCTTCACCGATTGAAGAAGACACCAGAATCTAAATCTAGGGAATTTTATCCCGAAGCCTAAATAGAGATAAGTCAGCGCCTAACACGCGTTACCGGTTAGCCCTTGACCGTGAAAAAAGACAAAAGCCCACATATTCGATATTATGACATGTTGTTATTAATAACACCATAATCCGTGCCTTACGCGTACTGGGAACTTTATCTCGACTCCTAAATAGAGATAAGTCAACGCCTAACACGCGTTGTCGGTTTAGTCTTTCACCTATTGAAGAAGATACTAGAATCCAAATCTAGGGAATTTTATCCCGAAACCTAAGTAGGGATAAGTCAGCGCCTAACATGCGTTGCCGGTTAGCCCTTGACCGTAAAAAAGACAAAAGTCCACATATTCGACATTGTGGCTGGTTGTTATTAATAACATCATAATCCGTGCCTTACACGCACAAGGAACTTTATCTCGACTCCTAAATAAAGATAAGTCAACGCCTAACACGTGTTGTCGGTTTAGTCTTTCGCCGAGTAAAAAAGACATCAGAATCCGAGTCTGGAGACTTTTATCCCGAATCCGAAGAAGGGATAAGTCAACACCTAACACGCGTTACCGGGTAGTCTATTCCCATGAGAAAGACGAAGTCTACGTATTTAATATCGTAGTACTAAAAGAGTTAATTCTTTTAGCACAACATTACATGCGGAACAGACTTAAACAATCTGCATGCTAGTCTGACTCAAATGGTAGTCGGTAAAGGCTCATCAAACCCGTTGATGGCTGAGGATTTGCCAAAGATCCTGAGTCTGCATCTGATACATGCGACCGGGTAGTCTATTCCCGTGAGAAAGACGAAGTCTACGTATTATCCTGAGTCTGCATCTGATACATGCGACCGGGTAGTCTATTCCCGTGAGAAAGACGAAGTCTACGTATTCAATATCGTAGCACTAAAAGAATTAACTCTTTTAGCATAACGTTACATGCGGAACGGATTTAAACAATCTGTATGCTAGTCCGACTCAAACGGTAGTCGGTAAAGGCTCATCAAACCCGTTGATGGCTGAGGGTTTGCCAAAAATCTTATGCATGTGAGAGTCATTGACGCACCAGCTTTATTAGTTGGTCTCATGACTTGAGCATCCAACAGCTTCAGGATAAGATCCATACCTGCAGATGAATCAGCTTTAATAGTTGGTCCTGCAACCTCAATACTTGAGACTACCACGCGTTGCGATGAAAAGTCAACGTCGGACGACCCGAAACCCTAGGTCAATGCCAGTCAACGCGTAACTCTAGGTCAATGCCAGTCAACGCGTTGCGATGAAAAAATCGACGTCGGGCGATCCTAAACCCTAGGTCAATGCCGGTCAACGCGTAACCCTAGGTTAACGCCAGTTAACGTGTTACGATGAAAAAGTCAACGCCGGGCGATCCGAAACCTTAGGTTAACGCGTAACCCTAGGTTAACGCCAGTCAATGTATTGCGATGAAAAAGTTAACGCTGGACGACCCGAAACCCTAGGTCAACGCCGGTCAATGCGTTACAATGAAAAAATCAACGCCAGTCAATACGTTGCGATGAAAGTCAACGTAAGTCAATATATCGTGATGGAGATGGTCAGTTCTAATTCAACTCGATCACACGAGCCAAAATCAACTCACCGGTTTTTGATTCGAGACTTCGACGACGACCAAACGATAAACGCAGCGCCGGAAGAACTGTAGCTATTCATTAAAATAGACTGAAAATCGAAGGAGTCAAGAATCAAAGCTAACTACAGGTCCTTTTACACCGACTAAAGGTTGGACCGATTATATCCAAAGCATTTCAGGCTTATCTATAAAAAAAACGAGACTGAAACACTTTGGAGGGGGTATCTGTAGGCGTCTAAAATTGCCTACGGACCCTTACACACAGCTCGAAGCACAGAGAAGATGATGAACGTCACTATCCGAGTCACAGAAGCGTAATCGACGTCGACAAGCGCATGAAGTGAGTCAACAAACTATATGAAGCAACGGAACTTCGGAATAACGGAAACATGAACTAATCGGGAGCTCCGCATCACTTACGAAACACGAAGCACCCCTCGTGTTCCGTCTACTCCACATGTGATTCAATCATGGAAGCTCGTAGATCTCCTCATTGGCTTTCCAACGCATATTGAATCGCGCAATTCCGAGTTCAGACGACAAAAATACGACGAAAACGCACAGAGCACGCGAACTATATTCCGGGAGGTGTCTCGGCCAAGCCGAGACACCCCTTGGTGTCTTGGCTTGGTCGAGACACCCATGAGTGTCTCGGCCAAGCTGAGATACCCACGGGTGTCCGCAGACCCGAAATGTTGTTTTTGGCTGTTTTTGACCGTTTTTCGACGTTAACCACCTGGATTTATTCCAACTGATCTGAATCTATCCAAGAATATGGTTAAGTGGTTATAACTGAGGATAAGAGGGAATCGGCCGTTCTTATCCAAAAACAGGGGTCCCGAAACCTATAAATACAGCCCCAGGGCCTTTATTTTTTGGGGATCTGAAATTCTCGAACGTTGACGGAGCCCTGCCAAATTGAGGACTGAAGAGCCATGAATTTCAGAGAGGAGGAGGAGATCGGATCGAGTTCTTCAGGCGTAAAGGAGAGTTCGACAGATCTGCAGCCCAGTTCCTTCCCTTGAGATTGTCCCGTTGCGTTGATCTCGAGAAGAGTGATTATCTCGATGTTGTTGAGATAATTGCTTCGGTTTCTTGATTCTTTCACAAATCAACGAAGCTCTGAACCTGATCTGACCATTTGGTGGTCCACGGATATCAACGTTCCCGTCACAGGCAAAGATCCCATGCAAGCAGCAGGCGATAAACACCCGTTGCGTTTGTTTGAAGAGAGTTGTATTTTTTTATTTTCGTTGTGTAAGAAAATCTTATAAAAAGACTAATTTTACTTTGAATCTGTAATCGATAAACGTGTAATGGATTCAGCAATGAAGATATCAACTTTCACCGCAAACAATCAGACTGAGGCATGTAAAAGACACATTAATGTGAGCGAATGTCAAAAACTAAGCAATGTTATTCTCTTTGCTTCAACAATCGACATGTGTTTCCCAATTGTTTTCAATAGGAACAAGATACAATCAGAAGTTAAGCAACATAAAGTAACTTGTGTTTCCAATATCCCTAAATAATTCTTTAAAAAGTCAGCTAAAATAAGGTACTATATTATGATCAAAACACAAATCAATGTAAATACCTGAAGCCCTTGGAAGCTCTCAAACCACTTAGAAAACCCCAAATCATCAACATCACCTCCCAACTCTACCACACAAAAAAAGCCCACAAATAAAAAAACCCAAAAACAAAAATTGGAAGAGAGAGAGAGAGAGAGAGAGAGATCAAACCAGATGAGAAGATAGGATTTGATGGAGACCCAGCAAGCCCAGCCTTAAGTAGAGCATAGAAGACGCAGAGTCTCCCGGCCCAGAGCACGGGGGCCTCCAACAACAAAGAGCAACATGGGCTCAACGCAAATCTCCTCCCATTGCTCACTGGTCTCAAATGGGTCAATTTGATGGAGGAAATGGGGAGAAATGATGAAGGGAGGAATAGGGGTTTGAGCTTGTTGCCATTAGTGTAGTGGGAAGTTGAGATTGAGCTTGTAGTGATGACTGACGGTGGGAGGAGATAGAGGATCATGGCTGAGGATGATGAAGAGAGATTTTTTGGGATTGATTTGGGTTTATTTTGGGTTGAGATGGGAGTGAGGAGGTTAGAGAGCAGATCAAGATTCAAGTTTGTATTTTTTTTAAATTGATTGACATCAATGGACAAATTTTCAAAACAGATCTATTTGGACTTTTATTTACAAAAACCGACCCCTTTCGAACTTAATTGTAAAAACCGACCTGGTTTCAGCCCTGTTGCTGAAACCAGATCGGTTTCTGAAAAGTTTTTTACGAAACTTTACGGGAGTTCAACTCCCGTGAAGTTTAGCATATTTTTAAACTTCACGGGAGTTCAACTCCCATGTAGTTTAATTTCTTAAACAAACTTCACGGGAGTTCAACTCCCGTAAAGTCTGTTGTAAGAGTAAAAACTCCACGGGAGTTGAACTCCCGTGGAGTTTTGGACTACCTATATAAGACGCAGTCTCGTGACCCAACTCACTTCCGCTCCTCAAACCAAAACCCTAGCCCTCTCTGTCGCCCCACCACCAGTCGCCGCCCCAGGCCCCAGCCGCTGGCTCGTCCCATTTCAACTCCTCCGATCTGCCGCGGCCGTCGTCCTCGCTCTCGCTCTCGCCTTCGTTGTCGCCAGAGTTGACCTCAAATTAGGGCATCGACAGATTGAAGGTAAATTCATCTAAAAAAATTTTTCTTTATTTTTTGTATATTCTTACTATTTTGTGGTGATCTCATGTAAAAAAATTAGATTTTAGAAATTAATTGTGGATTGTTTATGATTTTTGTGAAGAAAATTTAAATAATTTTGTGGATTTATAGGGGAATTGTCAAAATTGTAAAAAATAGTGTTACTAAATATTTAGGAACATCGATATATGAATTTGGGTAAAATTATGGTTTGGTAAGTAACAATTAAGTTCTAAGTTTTTTATTGTGTAATATTGATCTTGAATGTTTTAGGAACATCGATATATGATTTTTGTATATTCTCAAATTGAAGGTAAATTCATCTAATTTTTTTTTATTTCTTGTGTATTCTCACTATTTCGTGGTGATCTCATGTAAAAAATTAGATTTTAAAAATTAATTGTGGATTGTTAGAAATTAATTGTGGATTGTTTATGATTTTTGTGAAGAAAATTTAAATAATTTTGTGGATTTAGAGGGGGAATTGTCAAAATATAAAAAATAGTGTTACTACATATTTAGGAACATCGATATATGAATATGGATAAAATTATGGTTTTCTAAAATTGATATGAAATTGATATACAATTAAGTTCTAAGGTTTTTTGTGTAATATTGATCTTGAATGTTTTACTCTTCAGAGGTGATGATGAACGATCTAATCGTAATTTTGTGTTCGTATGATGGGAAGATTAACTACCTCAAAAATAATATTCCCGTTTATGAAGGAGGTGCGACGAGACTGTTGTTTATAACAAAATCGTGTACTTTCGATGAGTTGGTTAATGAATTACACAAACTTACATTAACTAACTCACGTGAGTATCACATTAATGTTATTTGCAATTATCCTGTTGTGGAGAACAGGACAAGCGGCATTCAAATATCAAGTGAGTACGATATGAGTCTCATTGGAGTCTTACATGATGAGAATCATTCAATCGAATTGTTCATTGAAAAACATCAAAGGAATTTGGGTAGATCGTTGAATTATGACGAAATATACTCCCGCATGTTGGAGGACCCTGATGTTGATTCCGTTGGCTTTTTATCTCCTCAACAAGATAAAGGTTGGACACAATCATAATATATGAGCGGTCCTTCATTTGTGGACACTTAGAATGCTTTCGATACTAACATGGGAGTTCAAGAAGATAATGCAAGTGTTGAATCTGAGAATGATGATGAAGAGGAGGGCTTACAAATTAATAGCATGAACTTGATAAATCGTGATGAAGGGGACAACCACCACATTGAAGAGGAGGGCTTACAAATTAATAGCATGACCTTGATATATTAGGCTTGATTGGCCGCTTATTACTGCACTGATTGAGAGGTGGAGGCCAGAGACCAACACCTTTCACATGCATATAGGGGAGTGCACCATCACCTTACAGGACGTGGCCATCATACTTGGTCTCCGGATCGATGGACCGGCAGTTACGGGCACCAATGATTATAGTTGGTCTGAGGTATGTGCTAGGCTTCTTGGCCAGGTTCCCGACTTGAGGAGTGGTGCGATGAAGCTATTGTGGCTTCGTCAGACATTTCAAGGCGACATACTAGAGGATTCCAGTATGGAGAAGCTTTAGTTTCATGCTCGTGCGTACATATTGCACATGATAGGGTGCGTGCTTTTTCCTGATGCGAGCAAGACTCTTGTACATGCACGATGGCTGCCCCTGCTAGAGGATTTTGACGTATGTGGCGCACTATCGTGGGGCAGTACAGTGTTGGCATACTTGTATCGAGAACTGGGTAGAGTATCCCTGATGCAGAATAAAGAATTCAAGGGATGCTGCACATTGATACAGATTTGGTCATGGGATTCATATTGGACGCTCTACTTTACTTATGCATCGTGACCTACAAGGGAAGTTTCCTTTGGCATACAGGTATAATTGTACACACAAATTTTATTCGTACTGAATTTGTACTTATATATTCTTTATTCTGCATATAGGTATAACGTGCAGTATGCTAAGTACCGATCAGCGACGCGTCATCGTGAGTTTTACCGAAATGAGCTTAATGGCCTCCAACACGAACAGGTAAATATAAATCTCAAGTCGTTATGAATATTATAGTTTTGTTGTTGATACTGATTAATATTTTATTTTATTTCAGTTCAAGTGGAGACCCTATACATCGCTGGAGCTCGATATGCATTCTCTTGCACCCATCTGCCGAAATACTCGCGACTTGTGGAGAGCCAGAGTTCCATTGATTTGTTGGGAGATCATGGAGATGCATGTCCCTGACCGTGTGCTATTGTAGTTTACACTCTCTCAGCATGTGCCAGATCCTGTCGAGTAGATCGATCGTCGGCAGTGACCTACTTCGCACCATACCGACTGAGCCGTAGTTCGTGCGGCCTACAAGACAGGTATGCTCACAGGTGGGATTTCATCCAGGATACGAGGCCCACAACTGTTGACTATACCGCATATATGCGTTGGTATTGGGATATCACACATAGATGGATCACGCGTGACCCACAGCCATTAGCTGGACACATGCTACGACCACCGACAGATAGTTACATCCCTAGTGGGATGAACGAGAGAGATTACGTAAGTTTCTAAGTTAAATTATAACATTTTTTATTGAGTTGGTACTTAATAAATTGTTTACCTCACATGTCCGTGCTTTTGATAGCATTGAGGCTGATATTGATGTGCACATGCCTGAGATTCAGGATTCGGTGGCATTAGGACTCCTCAGCGGGATCAAGAAGACCATAGCGCAGGTTTTTCATAAGACTCACGTCGACGAGTTCGCAGGCCGTGAGGACAAGTCTCGATCATTTGGGCAGGCGTACACTCGGCGCCGACGGCCACGTGACGATGACGGCGGCACTTCGCATGCTGATGGAGCCGGCACTTCGCAACCTCATACACAGTAGGATACTAAGATAATCGAGGCTCATCGATGGGCCGGCACTTCTCAGCCTCATACACAGTCGGATACTCAGATAGTCGAGGCTCATCAGCAGAACCGCGGGGGGTGGGGAGGAGCGAGGGGGAGGGGGAAGAGAGGGAGAGGAAGGAGAGGAGTTATATTGGGTTGTATTTGAACTTATTTTGTTAAAATTTGTAACTTTTATGAATTTTCAAATACTATACTTTTGTGAATCAATTATTGTTCATATATGTACTCTTCTTGAGTATTGTTTGACTCGTGCGTGTTTAAATCATACATATATTATAGTAATTGTTGTTAACATGTAAATAGTTATATATATGAGTTAAAACAGGTAGATGTATATAAAACATGCACGGCACAGCAGCATGTGCATGTTTTGTAAAACCTGTAGCTTCACGGGAGTTCAACTCCCATGAAGTTGCAGTCTAAATTTCCCAGAGAGCGATTCTCTGGGAAATTTGGCCTGTAACTCCACGGGAGTTGAACTCCCGTGGAGTTTTTAACACTCTAACAGACTTCACGGGATTTGAACTCCAGTGAAGTCTGTTGTGTGAGTAAAACTTCACGGGAGTTCAACTCCCGTAAAGTTTGTTTAAGAAATTAAACTACATGGGAGTTGAACTCCCGTTAAGTTTAAAAATATGCTAAACTTCACGGGAGTTGAACTCTCGTGAAGTTTCGTAAATTTTTTTTTAAAAACCGACCTGGTTTTAGCAACAGGGCTGAAACCAAATCAGTTTTTACAATTAAGTTCGAAAGGGGTCGGTTTTTGCAAATAAAAGTTCAAATAGGACTGTTTCAAAATTTTGTCCAAAAGACCGTGGATAGAAACAAAGGAAACGAGGGGCGGTGTCATCCAGTGGCTATTTGGCTTATCCTTACTAAATGGATTTTTTATGTTGCGTCCCTCACAAGAACACAATAATGTGATGGGTTATTTAGATATTAGTCCCTTACATTTTCAATAATTCCATATTAGTCACTCATATTTTTTTAGTATTAATCCCGAAATTTTTTAACTGTAGCCTAGTGAATCTGTCCATCTAAATCTCGTGTCTCGCGTAATCTTGGTCTCAAAATCAATCTCTCTCATGCTTAAACTTGTAACAATGTCAAACATCCCTTGAGCTCTTTATTTTGTATAAAAGCAATATTCGACATTTCCCTATTATATAGGTATGCTAAAACAGTACTACCTTATGATAATGTCATGCACCTGTCGAAGCCCTGGAGAAATGGTAACCACCTATCAAATGGCAAATACGTTTAGTCATTTTTTATAACAATAATGAGCAAAAGTCTAGTAAAAACGATCAAGATAGTGCATTATAACAATAACAAGTTGTCTTACCTCAAATGTACTTTATATTTACTTGAATTGGGAAAAAGAAGCATCCCGATCATGTGCAAAATATATGCACGAATATGTTGCTGGATCATGACTTGGGATGCATCTTCTGGCAAGGGCTTTGTGAAAATTTCTTTTAGCCACTTCAATCTAATATATCACCCCAGACAAGGACTCCGGAGATAGTCCTAACAAATCATCACAGACTCGACGCCTCACATACCTATCAGTCTCTGTAACACAAGAGCCATCAATGCGCAGACCAAGGATCACTGCTACGTCCTGGAGAGTAATAGTCACCTCGCCAACACGTAGATGGAAAGTGTTAGTCTCCGGCCTCAATCTATCCATCAATGCATTAAGTAGTACCCAATCGAGCTTCATCCACCGTAATTTTTATCATGTGAGAAAACCTACTTGGGCTACTAGAGCAATGATATGCGTATCTTCAAATGGCCAACGTGTATGTCCAAGGCTATGATCAATCATAACTAGCTCCGGTCCTCTCTACACGTAATGAAAAAAATATTAGAATATAGCAATGAGTAAGTAATATGTGGCTATAAAGTTATGACTAAAAATTTATCAATCATTATCGATGTAAATGATATACTCGTGACTGATCATAGAGTACGTCATCACTAACCGGCCCGGGAAGCATAGTGTATATACCTTCACATATAATTATTAACTGATTAGTTTCTGCCGAATCAATAAGACTATAATAATGAAAAATAGAGATAGAAATAGAAAACATATTACTAATTAATTGATATCTACTTGTTCTTGATGGACAACAACCTATTATGACCTAATTGATTACATTGTCCACATTTAATTTGCGACGCTACTCCTTCCCGACCTTGATCCATAGTACCTCTAATGCGCACAGAGTGAGGTCGTCCCGCTTTTCTTTTGTATTGAGGTGGTAAATACATGGTCCATTATCATCCGACCAATAATGACTATCGTCGGGAGGATTGAAACTCTCCTTATAAGCCTTTCGATAATAATTTGTTGAATACCAAGCCGAGCAATACCAATCATAAGGCAATCTAGAGCCACCATCCTGGTTGGAACTAGCCGCTACAATATGTTCACATGACAGTTTTTGTAATTGTGGGATATTACAAGTACAACTGGACTCCTAGTTATAGAGATGGACGGTGTAAGTACCTTCACAATCTTTAACCTCTCATCATTATCGTTGAATGATTCAATTCTACATGCTCTTACGACCACAATCCTTTTCTGAAGAATACTCTCATTTTTTGGAGTGTAACTACTCTTCCAATTTGCACCATCACCACGTCTCTTATTAAAGTATGTGTTTAATCTATAAAACGTCCTTGCAATTTGGTCCCTCAAATAAGAAAATACCCTCGAGTGTTATTTTTTTAAGGGTTATTGCAGATTGGCACTCTTAAGTTTACAACTTTTTAAATTAACATAAAGTTTTTTTGACACTTTGCTTCCCTAAAGTTTACACCTTTTTGACTTTGATACCTCAATCTTCTTTTCTGACACTTTGATATTCTAAGTTATATTTTTATCTTTCATGCCCTAAAGTTTCACAATTTTTAAGTTTGATACCCTAAAGTTTATACTTTTTAACTTTGACACTCTAAAATTTGGAGTATCAAAGTGTCAACAAAAACTTTAGGGTATCAAAGTTAAAAAGGTATAAATTTTATCATAAAAAATCAGAAAAACTACAAGATATTAAAGTTAAAAAAAGGGTGTAAACTTTAGGGTATCAAGGTATCAAAAGACTTTAGGGTGTTAAAGTGTTAAAAAACTTTAGGGTATTAAAGTAGAAAAGGTGTAACCTTTAGAGACCAATGCGCAAATGACCCTTTCTTTAAACAAGATAGTTTTTTAAGTGAGAAATCATAAACAAGGGGTATTTTGGTTATTAATGGATCAAATTGCAAGAGCCATTAGGATTGAAGAGAGCAATGACCAATAACGAGCGGTAATTAACGGACTCCCAAGATATCGCCACTCCTAAAACCCTAATCTTAAACCCCTCCGCGCGCGCGGCGCCCTCCCCTCCAAAATTTTTCAAAATGGCGCCCTAACCGTCTTCTCCCGCCGCGGCTCCCCCGTCTCAGCGCCACCCGTCAGTCTCCATCCCCGCCCTCCGATCTCCCCTCCGCCGCCAACAGCCTCCTCAAAACCCTAATCTCCTCCCAAAACCCTAACCGAGCCCTAGACCTCTTTCGCCTCATGCTCAGATCCCAAATCCTCCCCCAAACCGACTCCTGCAACCGCCTCCTCTCCTCCTTCGTCAAGCTCAAGCATCTCGACAAGGCCTGGATCGTCTACGCCGAGATGTTCCGCTACCGGATCCGATCCACCGTCCACACCTTCAACATCATGATCAACGTCCTCTGCAAGCAAGGTAAGCTCCGAAAGGCCAAATCTTTCATCCGTTTCATGGAGGAATCTGGTGTCAAACCCAACGCTGTGACTTACAACACGGTAATTCATGCGCATTGCGTGAGGAGGCAGGTTGAGCTGGGTTCTGAGCTTGTGAATTTGATGAGGGGGAACGGGATTGCGCCCGATGAGTACACTTATGGGTCGATAATCTCGGGAATGTGTAAAGAGGGGAGAGTTGGTGATGCTTCTCTGGTTTTGGGGGAGATGGTGGATGCGGGCTTGGCGCCGGGTGTTGTGATTTACAATGCTTTGATTGATGGGTATTGTAACATGGTGGATGCGGGCTTGGCGCCGGGTGTTGTGATTTACAATGCTTTGATTGATGGGTATTGTAACAAAGGGGATTTGGTGACGGCGGTTGGGTATAGGGATGAGATGGTGAAGAGGGGGATTGAGCTGACGATTTCTACGTATAATGTGTTGATTCATGCTATGTTTATGGAGGGGAGGCATGAGATGGTGAAGGAGTTGGTGAAGGAGATGGAGAGGAAGGGTTTAGTGCCTGATGAAGTCACCTATAATATTTTGATCAATGGGTATTCGAAGGAAGGAAATGTGAAGAAAGCATTTGAAATGTTTGAGGAAATGTCAATGAGAGGAGTGAAACCTACCCGGGTTACTTATACTTCATTGATTTGTGTACTTTCCAAGAAGGGTAGAGTTCTTGATGCAGATAGGATGTTTAGAGAGGCAATTCAGAAGGGATTATTGCCTGACCTTGTGATGTTTAATGCTTTGATTGATGGATATTGTGGTAGTGGTGATATGGAGCGAGCATTTGGTCTCTTGAAGGAGATGAAAACTAGGAAGGTTGTTCCTGATGAGGTTACTTATAATATACTCATGAGAGGGTTTTGTTTGTTGGGAAAAGTTGAGGAGGCTCGTGGTCTTCTTGATGAGATGGAAAAATGCGGGATAAAGCCAGATCTTATCAGTTATAATACTCTCATTAGTGGTCATAGCCGGAAAGGTGAGCTGAAGGATGCTTTTTTGGTTAGAGATGAGATGTTGAGCAAGGGTTTCAACCCCACGATTCTAAGTTACAATGCCCTTATTCAAGGATTATGTAAACATGGAGAGGGAACTCGTGCAGAGGAACTGCTTAAAGAAATGGTCGGCAATGGTATCACCCCAGATAATAGTACATATATATCGCTGATTGAGGGGCTGAACGATGTTGAAGACTTGGTGAAAAGTGAAAATATATGAATATGCGCGTCTACTTCACATCATCTATCAAGAAAACTGCTATGACACATGGTGGATGTTCATTAAGTTATATTGGGTTGTAATATTACATGTGCGGCATTAAATTTAGGAGCATGCTGTTTTGGCTTTCAGGCACTTAATATCTCCAGAAGAATTGTTCATTTCAAGTATGAAACAGGTGCGTATTTCTTACCTAAAGTATTATGAGTTACTTCCCACTGATTTCATAAGGAAAAGGAAATGGGGGAAAATGATTATTATGTTCTCCCTCCCACTAAATGGTATTTGTGAAGTGTATCAAACCAAAATTTAAATGATAGAATCAAATTGTTTGTGTCAATGTGCTACCTCTTCACGGGTGCTTCTTATGACATGGTTTCTTTATACAAGTATTTTGTGCTGGGCTTGGGCTTTACTGAGCAAGTATGTAAATAAAAATTGGATTTGAGAATATATATGTAAGTCTGGGGTACATCAGATTCATATCACTATTGTAGTACCATCATTTGAATAATCAAATATTTTTATTATGCATACTCTGCCATGTTACAAAAATTTAAGCTAGTTGCTTGTTTGGCTGATATTTTACCAATATGATCTTTGATCTTTATTGAACCTAATTTTTTCCCTTAGTATATTAGGTTGCTAATTCTTTGTTGTGTTTCATTGTATCCACAGGTGTGATCTCTACCAACAGATAGTTGACAAACGTGAATTTATGATGCATGCTGATGTCTGTCGACCTCAGGAATTCAATAACCGTTCCTGCTTACATCTGACTACCAATAAAAGAGGTGCAGTTCTATGAGTCTATGATTAATGTATATACATTTATGTCCCTGAAGAAAGTATGATATGTTCCTATTGACAACTTATAGTTTGAAACTCCTAACTGGTAGCTATCTCAGTTAGCAGGTTAATTGCTTGGGAAAAGAACAGCATTATGATAAAAAAATATCATGAGATATAAATCACAAGGGAAATAATAATATCAATAGTGACGAAGGCAGAGTTCTATTAGCAAATGTGGATCGAGCTCTCTACAGTTCACAGGTAAAGATGTAAACTCACATTTCCCGTCATGATATAATAACAAATAACATGTGACACAAATCTCAAGATAACATAACAAGAATGACGAAGGCATAGTTCTATTAGCAAGCGTCGATCAAGTCTATCCTCAATGGTTCACAGGTGAAGATCCAAACTCTCATTTTCTGTCACATGTCCAACCTCGCTACTCAGAGACCCGTGTGAGGACATTGTAGCGATCAACCTCTGGAGATGAACCCACTTATTGTGGGCGTTCTGGTGACCTTCGAGGGCTTGGGAGGTTGGGCAGCTGCGGAGGCGGTAGTGGCACTCAAAGCTGTGGATGGGGTCCACTATGACGACTTTGGTGGGGATGGTAGATTCTCTAGGTGAGATTTTGCTGGTGTTGATATTGCTTCTGCAGTTGGTCTAGCTGTTGGTATACTTGTGGGTAACGTCAATGCCAAAAATACGAATGATGGAGGAGGATGAATCATTTTGTTGTGGTGGTCGGATGAATGGAAGTCGAAAGAAGGATTCAACGATCGTGAAGTTGTTGGTCTGTTGTAGCGGTTGGATGAATGGGAACTGAGACAAGGCCTGCATTCATGAAAATGTTTGTCAACCGGTCGAAATGACCAAAAATAGCTAAAAATCATGGATTATTCACAAAATTGTAAAATTTGGCCACAACGAAATTATTTGCTAATAGTTGAAATGATAAAAATGGAAAAAAAAATATTGCGTTATAGCTCATAAAGTTATAAAATTTGGCCTTCGTAAAATTATTTGCTAATGGTTGAAATGACAAAAAGTGGCCCAAAATCAAGAGTTATACCTCATGAAATCATGAAGTTTGGATTCTTTGAAATTATTTATTAATGGTTCGAAATGACAGATAATTATGAGTTATAGCTAATGAAATCGTGACTTTTGGCCTCCGCGAAAATATTTGCCAACTAATAAAAATGACTAAAAAAATGTCCAAAAATCATGGATTATATATCATGATATTGAAAATGTTGGCCACTACGAAATTATTTGCCAATGGATCGAAATGACTAAAAATTAGATAAATTATGGGTTATTAATGAAATCATCAATTTTGACCTGTACAGAAATATTGCCAATGGGCCCAAATGACTAAAAATAGTCATAAATTGAGTGTAAAAGTTTTTAAAATTGTGAATTTTGGCATACGTAAAATTATTTACTAATGGTTCGAAATAAATATAAATGCCCAATAATCATATGTTATGGTTTATGAAATCGTAAATTTTGTCACCAGAAAATTATTGCCAATGGGTCAAAATGGCTGAACATAGAGTAAATCCATGAGTTTTAGCTCATGAAATTTTAAAATTTGGCCACCATGAAACTATTTGTAACTAGTGAAAATAATTAAAGATGATAAAAAAAAATTATGGTTTGTAGCTCATATGAAATTGTGAATTTTGGCCCACACGAAATTATTTGCCAAAGAGTCGAAATGGCTCAAACTGAAGAAGAATAATGAGTTATAGTTCATAAAATCGTGAATTTAGGCCTCCATAAAATTACTTGCCATTGAATCGAAACAACTAAAAATGGCTAAAATTTGTGAGTTATATATCTTATGAAATCGTGAATATTTGTTCACGTGAAATTATTTGCCACTGGGCCGAATCAATTAAAAATGGTAAAAAATCATGGGTTATAGCTCATGGAACCGTAAATTTTTGCTATAGCAAGATTATTTGAAAACGAGTCGAGACGATAATAAATGACCAAAAATCATGGTTATAACTATTTAAACCTTTAATTTTGGCTTCTCAGAAATTATTTGACGATGTGTCAAAACAACTAAGAATGGCTAAATATCGTGGGCTGTAGATCATGAAATTGTGAATTTTGGCATCCTTAAAATTATTTACAAATCAGTCAACAACTAAAAATAATAATAAAAAATTATGGGTTATAATTGATGAATTCGTGGACTTTGGACTCTGTAAAATTATTTGCTAATGGTCCGAAATGACTAGAAATGACCAAAAATTATTTGTTATAGCTTACGAAATCGTGACTTTTGGCATTCGCCAAAGTATATGTGAATGAGTCAAAATGATTAAACATTATCAAAAATTATAGATTATAGCTAAAGAAATCGTTAATTTTTAGCTCCGCAAAATTATTTCAAGTGGTCAAAATAGCCAAAAATTATGAGTTATAAGATTATCATAGATTTTGGCTACCGCAAATTATTTGCCAATAGGTCGAAGTGACTAAAAATTGAAAAAAAATATGAATTATAGCTCTTGAAATCGTTAATTTTGGCCTTTGCGAATTGTTTGCCAATTGATCTAGATGACTAAAAATGGTTGTAAATTGAGAATAATCATCCATATAATTGTGAATTTTGGCATCCACGAAATTATTTATCAATGGTTCAAAATAACTAAAAATTCCCAATAATTGTGCATTGTAGCTCATGAAATCATGAGTTTTGCCTACCGTCAAGTTATTGCCAATGGGATGAAATGACTAAAAAAAACCTTGGGTTTGAGCAAAAAAACCTTGGGTTTGAGCTCATGAAATTGTGAGTTTTAGTCTCGAAAAAATTATTTACCATTGGATCAAAATGACTAAAAATGGATAATAATCATGAACTATAGCTCATGAAATTGTGAATTTTGATCTCCGCGAAATTTTACGCCAATGGGTTGAATCGAATAAAAATGTCCAAAACGCATGAGTTATAACTCTCTAAATTGTGAAATTTAGCCTCCGTGAAATTATTTGCCAAGGGGTCAAAACTAATAAAAATGACAAAAAATTATGGGTTATAGCTCATGATATCGTGAAGTTTAAACTTCATGAAGTTATCTATTAATGGCTTGAAACAACTAAAAATGGCCAATAATTATGGGCATAGCTCAAAAAATCATGAAATTTGGCCATTGTGAAGTTATTTGGCAATAGATCAAAATGACTAAAAATAGGAAAAAAAAATCATGCGTTATAGATCGTGAAATCACGAATTTTGCCCACCATGAAATTATTTACCAAAGGTCAAAATGACTAAAATTGTAAAACAAATCATGGGCTATAACTTAGAAAATTGTGAATTTTAGCCTCCTCAAAATTATTTACAAAAGGATCAAAACGACTCAAAGCGGAAAAAATCATGAGATATAGCTCAAGAAATCTTTTATCTTGACATCTACTAAATTATTTAACGACGGTCGAAATGACTAAACAAGTTAAAAAACTATGGTGTATACCTTACAAAATCATGAATTTTGGTCACAGTGAAATTATTTGACAATTGGTTGAAATGACAAAAAATGTCTAAGAAGCATGGATTATGGCTAATGAAATAATGAAATTTAGCTACCGCAAATTATTTGAGAATGGTTCGATACAAAAAATTTGGCCTTCGTGAAAATGTTAGCCAACCGGTCAACATGACTGAAAATAGCCAAAAATCGTCGATTACTCATAAAGTTGTAAATTTTGGCCACAGTGAAGTAATTTGCCAACAATTGAAATGATAAAAATGGAAAAAAAATCTTGCGTTATAGCTCATAAAGTTATGAAAATTGGCATCCGTAAAATTATTTGCCAATGGTTGAAATGACAAAAAGTTGCCCAAAATCATGAGTTATACCTCATGAAATCATGAAGTTTGGATTCTTTGAAATTATTTATTAATGGTTCGAAATGACAAAAAATTATGGGTTATAGGTAATAAAATCGTGACTTTTGGCCTCCGCGAAAATATTTGCCAACTGATCAAAATGACTAAAAAATGGCCAAAAATCATGGATTATATATCATGATATCGAAAATGTTGGCCACTACGAAATTATTGGCCAATGGATCGAAATGACTAAAAAGTAAACAAATTATGGGTTATAACTAATGAAATAATCAATTTCGACCTATGCAGAAATATTGCCAATGTGCCTAAATGACTAAAAATAGTCCTAAATCGTGTGTAAAAGTTTATAAAATTGTGAATTTTACCATCTGTAAAATTATTTACTAATGACTCGAAATGACTATAAATGCCTAATAATCGTGCGTTATGGCTTATGAAATCGTGAGTTTTGCCCACCAGAAAATTATTGCCAATGGGTCAAAATGGCTAAACATGGAGTAAAATCATGAATTTTAGGCTTTTAGCTCATGAAATTTTAAATTTTGGCCAACATGAAACTTTTGTAACTAGTGAAAAAAAATGATAAAAAATTATGGTTTGTAGCTCATGAACACGAAATTATTTGCCGAAGAGTCGAAATGACTCAAAGTGAAGAAGAATAATGGGTTATAGTTCATAAAATTGCGAATTTAGGTCTCCATAAAATTATTTGCCTTTGAGTCGGAACAACTAAAGATGGCTAAAAATTGTGAGTTATATATCTCATGAAATCGTGAATTTTTGTTCACGTGAAATTATTTGCCACTGGGTTGAATCAATTAAAAATGATAAAAAATCGTGGGTTATAACTCATGGAACCGTCAATTTTTGCTATTGTGAGATTATTTGACAACAAGTCGAGACGATAATAAATGACCAAAAGTTATGGTTATAACTATTTAAACCTTTAATTTTGGCTTCTCAAAAATTATTTGACAACGTGTCAAAATGACTAAGAATGGCTAAAAATCGTCGGCTATAGCTCATAAAATTGTGAATTTTGACATCCTTAAAAGTATTTACAAATGGGTAATAACTAAAAATAATAAAAAATCATGGGTTATAGCTGATGAATTTGTGAAATTTTAACTCTGATAAATTATTTGCTAATGGTTCGAAATGACTAGAAATGACCAAAAATTATTTGTTATAGCTCACGA